TAAGATCTTGAAAAGAAATATCAAAAGTTGCATGTTTGAATCATCAAATGCAAAAATACATTTGTCTCCCTTTCTAGATTTGTTCAACATGCAAAATTATTTCTATTCACTTCCAAATTTGATATTAGATTTACAGTAAATTAGAATTTTATACACAACTTCTATCTTATTCGGACTGCATAACTTCCAAGCTCCGTGCTCACCATTTTCAAATTTTACAATCATCTTCTTTGATATATTTTATAACATCAAAAAGATATAACTGCATATTCAAACAAAAATATAAATGTGTAATAATCTGAAAATACTAATTGACTTCTAGTAGTATGATAATGAGTTAATACAATTAAACGGAAAAGGTCTAAGAATCAAAAGTCTTAACTTCTATTTTAACTTTATCAATGGTATACTGATATCTATTTAAATATTAATATATAAAACAATTTTTTTAACTAATATTTCAAAAACATGTATAGTAATCACTTCATATATTAGTATATAAAACATATGCTATAGCAAAGAAATAATTAATTTCATTTTCAACATTACCTTGTCAAACTCGTTAAATAGACAAAATATTATAATTTTATTTAACAATTTGAATGCATCCGAAGTCCTTTGCAAAATACAATGGCAAGAAAGCGTTGAACAGAATATGCATTATAAAATCATTTTAAAAAATAAAGATATAAAAAAATAATGGTCAACTTTGAATTTAAATTTACACTACTTAACAATAAAATAACTTCGTTTTTATAATAACACACTATTCCAAATAGAAAGTGAAGAACATAAACCAAAAAAGAAAAAGAAAACATATTAAAGGTGTGTAAGCAATCAAAATATAAAAAAGCATAATAATAAAAAATAAAAAAAAATGCACAAAAAGATCATACCTGAGTTTCATTAGTTAACATTTACTAATATTTGTTCGTGACAAACAATAGAAAAATGCATAACAAATGTGTGTAAGCAATTAAAATATAAAAAAAGCATAACAATGAAAAATAAATAAATAAATAAACGCATAACAAAGGTCATACTTCTGTTTCCTTAATTAATCTTTATTAATGTTTATTCCTGCCAAACAGTAGAAAAATACATAACAAAAATATGTAAGCAATTAAAATATTAAAAAATCAATACTATATAAATATTATATAAAACAAAAACAAAGTAATGAATAATAATAAAAAGAAAGAAGGGTGAACTAAAGTGGAGATGATACTTAAGTTTGTTCTTGTCAAGCAATGGAAAAATGCATAACAACAGTGTGTAAGCAATCAAAATATAAAAAAACGATAATGTTTTATAAATTATATAAAAGAAAAAGAAAGTAATAAAAAGTGAAAGAGGAAGAAGAAGTGTGAACCATACATGAAGGTGTAAAAAAAAATAGAAATGATAACCGAGTTTATTTTTTTAAGCTTTTCTTCTATTTAAATGCAAGATTTATAGTTAAGAATGCAGAATAACAAAGTCGTAATGTACACAAAATTACTAATAAAAAAAGAGTTCTGATTGAATTTATTTTTTAGGGTGTTTATACAGTTACATTGTGAATAAGAATAAAGCAAACATAAATGTATAAAAAAATAAAATATAAATAACACCTACCTTACATTGGTTAATATTTCTTTTATTTATCTGCAAGGTTTGTAAATATGAAAGAAAGAGCAATGGAGTCAAACACACCAAACTGATTTCAAACAATGTGAAGAAGGATAAACAAAATATAAAGACAAGATAAAACAAAATGCAAATGATACATGACTTCATTATTTAACTTTTCTTTTATTCATCTGCAAATATTTGTAATGGTAGGCAGAAGTTCTTCAAGACTGCAAAGTACATAAAACTGATTTCAAATTTATACTATAGGAAAAGAATATAAAAATCATGTGTAATGTTATCTTGTGATTTAATTTAAAAGATTTTTTGCAAAAGCAAATGGCAAAAAAACGTTGAAAGGAAAGTCTATAGTAAAATCTTTTGATAGAACCTAATATGTAAAAATAATATGAAGAAAGGTAAACTAAATATGAAAAAGTAATAAAATAAGAGATAAGCAAACATGATGACAGAAGAAATAAAGCTCATTGGTTACCTCTTCTTTTATTTACTTGCAAAACTTTGTAATGATAGGCAAAAATAGCTTCAATACCATGTGGTGTTCATTGAGTTTCTTTTCCTCTGTAAGTTGTTGAAATGGGTTCCAATATATCTTGCCAAAATAACATGCCAGTATAGAAAATGACAAATAATAAATGACATTGTTAGGATGTAATTATTACTTTTTCATAACTTGAAATTTAAAATCTGAAGTAGAATAAAGTTTCTAAGAATAGAAAGGGATAAAGAAGACTACTGGAAAAGCTTTTTATGAGGTATTGACACATTATCAAACTTTTCACAAAATGATACTCAATTGTATATATTATAATACGTGTGACTGAAATTATATAATCTCACATCATTAAAAAAAATTCATTTCAAACAAGCATAATAAGAGTGTAATATATCATTTAATTCGTTCAAATTATAAGTATACTGATTTAGAAGACATTTCAAGTAAAAGATGAGAGTTGAGAAGCATTAATAATAGTCATTATCAAGAGAGATAAAAAAGTGAATAGTGAGATAGTAATACATTTTTCATTTAATTTAATGATTATTGTTAATGTCTCTTATTTTTTATAATAACAATTTCTCTCATTTAAAATATTTTTTATTAACTTATAGATTAACTGATAAAAAGTTGTTTCATATTAACATGAAATATAATTTTGAATTTGAATGTTAAAATCTTTGAGGTAAATTTCAAAAAACACTTTTATTATTATTTTTATATTTAAAAAATATTTGTAAAAAAAAGAAACCAAAATATTGTTGTTTTTTTTTTTTCCAAATTAAACGGCCTTAAATTTCCGTTACAGTGATTGACTTGAAATGATTTATGTTATTCCGGCCCCACCAACAAATATGTGACAAGTCCATAATACTTTGACCATGCTTTTCACCTTGTTTGATACGGTTGGAAATGGAATGGCAATGAAAATTATTTGAGGATAAAAATGAAATATTTCAGTGCATTTTTTTACTTTTTAATAAATTTTATATAATATAAGAAATATTTAAAAAATGAAAATATTTTGTATTAATAAAAAACATTACAGTGAAAGATTAGATTTTATGATTGCTATGAATTACTTTTCTAAAATAATTTATTTATTTATTTATCTTTTTTTCTATCTATTTAAATAAATAAAATATTTTTTTTTCATTCTTTTCGCTCATTTTCTATCTATCGGAACAACATATTTTTTTTACTCTGTTTTTATTTATTCTATTTCTTGTTTTCTATTTTCTTCCTCTTTAAATTAATGTATCATCCAAACCATGCTTGAATTTATCTTTCTTGAGCATGTTTTGACCAAAGGCAACTTTATGGAATTGTGCAAGTGTTACGTATTAATTATACATAAAATGAAAACAGAATTTGCCTCGCATATGCACCATAGAAGTGAAACCGAAGACTCGGTCAACTATGTGAAGCTTTATTCTGAGGACTGAAGAAAATTATTCATGTGGATTCGGGATGAGTCAACCATCAACCCATCAAGGAAACAAATATCAAGGAAAATATTACTATAACCTTTTTATCTTTTTATTCCGTTAAACCAGGTTAATTGCTTTAAAATGTACCAAGCGAGTAACGGACATAAAAATACATGGATATTAAGTGGATTCTTAATATTATTTAATTAAAAGGAATATATATATATAATAAAATTATTCAAAATATTATTATTTTTAAATTATTTCAACTTAACTCTACAGTTATAAATACTGTGTATCAAAATGATAAAAATTTAATAAAAGTTATAATAATTTTAAAATATAATTTTTTAAATAATAGAAATAATATATTAAGTATTATAAATTTTATATAAATAAATATATTTGTAGAAAATTTGAAAGTTTATATAAAATAATAAGAAAATTAAGTAATAACTTTTATCTCTAAAGTTTATGATAAAATTAATAAAAAAAATGGACAAAAAGTAAAATAATTTTAGCGAGACAATATAATTTACATTATTTTTACATAATTTTAATTTTAAAAATACCCGTGACAAATTATAACAGAAAATAATTTCTCTAAATACTTTTAGATAAAATATCCTGTAACAGAAATATTGATATGTTAAGTAAATATAAGGTTAAGTAAATACAAAGATTTATGAAGAATATAAAAGTTTATATAAGGTAAAAGTAAAAGTCAAGTAATAATTTTTATCTTTAATGTTTTAACAAAATTAATTAAAAAAAAGTTGAGAAATAATAAAATTATTATAAAGAGAATGTAATTTATGTATTGTTCTTACATAATTTTAATTTTAAAAAAAATGTGATAATTGTGATAGAAAGTAGTTCTAGTGAATACTTCACTTTCTAAATAAAACGCAGTCTTTTACGAGAGAAAGTTTAATAAGTTGAAATAAATTACAAATTGGAATCATGCATTTGAATTAATTTATATTTTTACCCATTATGACCAAGTAGCCAATCTGTGTCTTCTCTATGAATTTCTACATATATTAATTATTAGCTACAAAGTGCATGCAATTTTATGTTAATTAATGAGCCTATGTTATCCCTGGCAAACATTAACGGAGAGAAAAACAAATGTGTATATTTTGACTCTCTCTAAAAATAAATTATAAGGATGGGATAGGAGATTAACAGGGAAAAGAATAAACCACCACCACCAATTCTTGGTGGCAATACATAATTAGTAATGCCGGAAATTAAGGTTTTGCAAAGCACATAAAAGTTCCAAATCTAACAAATGTGTGAACCTCATTTCAAAGTTAAAAATAACAAACTGAATTTGCACTATATAAGAGGAGAATGTGAGCAAAACATAAGTTGCACGTCATTATTATTGCAACATTGAGGTTACAACTTGTGTATCTTCAATAATTGATTGGCAAAAAATGGCGAAGATAACATTAGCTTTGGTGTTTGCTTTGGTGGTGGCTGTGCCATTGCATGGGGTAATGTGTTATGAAGATCCATGGGAAAGTGTAATAGACGAAGCAAGCAAAGCAGGAGTATCACCAGATACCATAAATGAGGCTCAGAAGGCAATAGGTGATGGCTCTGCCGAAGCAGCTGCTGAGGAGGCATTGGGTGATGGCTCTCTGAATGATTGGGTTCAAAAAGCCAAGTAAGACATTTTTAAGCTTTGTTTCTTTCACGATAGAATGGCTCAAAGAAAAGTACAAGTGTGGAAAATATGCATGCATTCGAAAATTCACAGACTCGTCTGTTCTTTTTATTTGCTTTTCATTTTATCCAAACAAAATATTGGAATCATCTAATTAAAAACTAAACATTGAGATGAAAATTTGTTCGTTTAAGTTTTAAATAAAGGTAATTTTAAGTTTGTATGAAAAAATATATATTTTTATTTTAAAAACAGTAAACGTTAACCTCAGTTTGTTGGGCTAAGTTTAAATATTTTAAAGAAAAGTTATCACACTTTTAATTTAATATAATAAATGTTTTTTAATATTATTTTTTACTTTTAAGTTTTAAACTTAGTTTTATATGTTGAGATCCTTTTGAATATTTAATGTGATGCAAAAATTATTATTTTTTATTTTTATCTAAAAAGAGATTCAAAGTCTTCCAAGAAGAAAGAGGAAGCGGGTATAAGAAAATAGGAGGGAGAGAGATCATACATTAATTGCTGGAAATCAAACTCAAACACTCATTTTGAGAAAAAAAGGTGTTTAGAAAATTTGCAAATTTTTATTTTAACCTCATTTTTAGTTTTTTTTCTTTCTAAATGGCACCTTTTCTTTAATCTTTTATTTAATCGTTTTAATATTACAAGTTTTTATTCAATCCTCTATTTTAGAGAGACTAAATAAGAATCTCATGATATTTATGGGAATCGAATAAAAAACCTGTAATGTTTAAAAAGACAAACTGAAAAATCTCATAATATTTTAAAAAAAATATAGAGAAAAACAAAAATTATAGAGAGACCATTTAATAAATAAAAATATTTTATACAAAATTATTATACAAATTAAAATAAGCAACTAAACAAAAAAAAAAAAAACAAACTAAAAACTTGATTAAAACGTATAACTAATAAAAATTATATACTAAATTCATAACCTTCTTAATATGTACTCATTTATTTGTGGAACTTGTCCAAGAATGTTAGAGTCAACATGCTTTTAGCTTTCAGTCTATTTATCTCATAATGTCTCAATACTTTGTACTCATGACCCCTTATATATTAAAATTATTTCTTAAAACATGTTTGGATAAAAATAAATATTTTTCTGCATGTTAAAATTTAAAATTTAATAAAAATAATTTTATTTAGAAAATTATTTCCTATCTTGTGTATTATTACCTTTTCAATTATTTTGAAAAAAAAGAGAGGCTAAAAACAGATTTTTTCAAATTTTTTTTATCAAACGATTTAAATAATCTGAGAAATGATTTCTTCAAATAGATTAATTTTTTTGTGAAGTAATATAAAACAAACGAACTTTGAAAGTCTACTTTGTTTCTAAAAAATATACATGACTTTATGTAGCACTTTTGTTTCCTAATAAAATCAAATTAAGTCTTCAATTAATGCTATTAATTAGTTTTATCCTTTAGAAACTAAATAGATACACCACTAGCAATGAGAAAAATGTAATACTAAAATTTAATTTTAATCATTTCAAATAAAAAAGTAATGTGAAATTGATACATTTTTAGAAGATCAAAGTTTAAACTACTTAAAAATTAATTGTGATTGTTGTTGTGACAAATCAGAGACATAGCCGGCGGTGGAACTCCACCAGCTTCAGCCGCTGAATCACCAGCCGGTTTACCTATTGACGAGATTGAAGACGAAGACTCATCACCTGCAGAGGCACCACAAGGTTCCAATAAAGCAAAATCTCCAGCAAATGCACCAAATGAATCTCCCACTGAAGCACCTAATGCACCCTTAGAAGCTCCTGAATTGGCACCACAAAATGAGTATGCAGGAGAACCCGAATTGGCACCAACAACAAATGCACCTACAGAGACACCATCAGCAACACCTGAACCATAAATTTCTTATGCGGCAACATCCCAATCATAAGATATAGATTGGTTTCACAAAACTTGTGTAGACTAAATATAGTAGGTTAAGCTGATAAAGAACTTTACATTATATAATTATTTAAACCTTATTGACACATAATTGTTATATTCAAAATAATAATGTGTCAATTCAACACATATGTATGAGAACTAAGAATCTCAACCCAAGAACAAACAGTAGAGGCAGTGACACCACGGGTGGCATAGGATAAAAAGATCGCACCCTAGTTGTATTATTTATCCATGAATGCCAAAAACGTTTGTTTGTTCCACACACTTTTGATTAACATCGAGGAAAGAGCTCTTCTATAATACACAAGTAAAAGCATACGATTTTAATTTGATGTAAAAATATATTACCTTGTTATTGTTCAATACTTAACTATGCCTTTTATGCTGATTATACATTAATTGATGAATGCCCATAAACCATCAAGTTTTAGAACCCAGATGAAGCATTAAAGCTTCGTACTTTCTAGTTCACATGACTGTTAAAGTGCTAATAAAGGTGCTGAATAACTTTTTCCACAAGCAATCATCGCCCCAAGTGCATTATATCACATGGCATAGAAATGAGAAACACATGTATGTTATCATTTACCAACGAGGATATTATAGATGACTTTAACCTGTCAGTAATTCTAAAATTTGTCTGTAAACTTTTATAAATATGTCTATAAATTCATCTATATTTTTAATATTTTCAGTAGTGAAATTGATTGATATTAGGTGATATCAAAATGTGTTTTAATTTGATTTAATGAGTGTTTGATAGAGGTCTAGTGCGGGAAGTCTCGGTCTCGCTTTGGCGAGACAAGTCTCGCTCAAGCGAGACTAAGCACCCAAAACCATATGATTTTAGAGCATTCACGCTTAGGTGGGAATGGGTCTTTCCTAGGCGAGACAGGATAAACTTGGTCCAACTGTTCTCTCGAGACGAGATGAGTCGCTCAAGCGATAATTCACATAAAAAATGGTCACCTCTCTAGACTTCTTCTCGCTTAGGCAAAAAATATCAGAAAAAGCCTAGTAAAACTACTATTTTGTGTCCTCACCCAGGCAAGAGTAACCTCGCTCAAACGAAGTCGCGTGAGTTTGAGAGGGATATTTAAGAGATTTCCATCCAGAAAACTTGCATTACAATCCAAATTACATTTTCTTTGAATTTTCTCTAAACTATCACTTCCTTCCCTCTGAAAAACCTCTTCCAAACCCTGATCATTCTTCGAATCCAAACTCAGATATCTAATCCAATTGACTTCAAGTAAGTTCCTCGGAGCTCAGCTCTCCAAACTTGTTTTGATTTCTCCATTTCTCTCTTCTCAAAGGTGTTCTATTTTGAAAATATGTAGGAAGTGCTTTGTCCTTTGAAAGATATTACTCATAAATTTCTTTACTAATCTTCATTTCACAGTAAGGAGCAGTATATTTTATTCTTAGAACATAATGAATACTATTGTGTGTTTCTTGTCTGTAAATACGTGTTTAAATGATATTCATTGTTGTGAAAAAGTTGATTGTGTATATTTGATTGATTGAGATGTTTATATTGTATTTTTGTGAAACATGTGAAAAGGACTTAATCTAAAAATATTGTGGAAGAACTTGATATTTCATTTGGATAATGTTTAATTGTACTAAAACGTTAATGATGAATGTTCAATTGATTTAGGATGGTACGATATTTTGGAAATATGTTGTGTTGTGAACTTAGTTTTAAAGTGCTTTACTAAGCACAATCTTTTAGCAAAGTGAGGAGATTGATATGATAAGTAATATGTGATGAATATAAAATGATGAAAGGAACTAGTGTGAATAGTTACAAAAATACAACAAGGGTATAAAGTATGAAGACAATGTGAAAATCTAGGAGAAACGTAGGGTGGTGAGCAATATTCGCGTATGTATACACATTCTTTCTGAGAGCAAATGCGTCACATATCCTCACACTTGTTTCTTGACTAAATTCTTGGCAATACCTTTGCTAAGGGGCCTGTTATTGTATACGTTGTATCTGTATGCATGGGCTAACCAACAAATATTTACTTAGTTATGTAAGACTTCAAGAAATATTAGAGGCATCGTATATTTGTGATCACAATGCACTGGGAGCGTGTATTCAAAAAAGAAAGATGTAACGAGTTATGATAGAATATATATATATATATATATATATATATATATATATATATATATATATATATATGTGTGTGTGTGTGTGCGCGCGCGTGCGCGTGCGTGAGAGAGAGAAAGAGAGAGAGAGAATTGTTAATATATTGTTTCTGTGATTGATATTATTATGTTTTCTTTTATCCTATGATTATATTTATATTGTGATATTAATCATTGAGATTGTGTTATATTAAATGATAAGGTATATGCTTATCCTTACAATATGTTTTAGAGAATAAGGATAGCCACACCACAAAGGCAAATTAGCTTAGTAAACTATCTTGTACACTATAAAATGAATTATATATTGAGAGAATATTAGTGATTTTGTCATTTTAAATTTAGTATAGACTGTGATGGCGAATTACATAGTATATGGACTGTAGAGATAGATGTAGATCATGACATTTCTTTTGATTATCTTGTGAATAATCGTATTCACCACAACCTTAGTGTATACATTTATCGAGGGATTACTAGACCTTCACCAGCTATACAAAACGTTTACACTTTCCATGATCATGACTTTTTTGAAAGAACTACCCGATATACTTTTGAACGGATCATAGGTGTTGAGGTCGTGGCTGATTCTAGCGATTTCTATCTCAGAGAAGACGAAGATCTGACTCTGGAGGAGCTAACTGATATAGAGGGCTGACATGGTGACAACGACTAAGATTGAGTCTTTAGTATTTTGAATATAGATTATGACTGTTCTTAGAACTTAGTTTATTTTGATTATGTAATTAATTGTTCTAAATCCTATAACTTTTTGATCAAATATTTATAAATTATTATACTGTTTATATGCAAATAAGATTAATACATGTATATTTCTTAAATGTTTCAGTATAACATAATTATGCAATTATGATTTGCTTTTTCTCATTTTATTACCTCAATTAATTTATAAATGAAGTTATTCACAAAAAAAGTTTTAATCTCCTCCTATATATGTATTATACATGCAAATGAAAAATTTATTTTATATTATCAATTTTGACTTAAACTATTATGTATATTGAAATTAAAATTTAAGGGTGTCACATCTTCCATCACTGTGACTAGGTATTTTCTTCCCTTCTAAGCATAAGGTTCACATTTGCTTGCGAAAAGAGAGAAGTTGAATGTAGTCATACGATAGTTTTTATTTATTTTATTTTTATTTATTTATTTTAAAATATTATAACATAACGTAAAAAAAATAAAATGCTTAGAACTTAATGCTTTATGGCACCTCACTTCACTTGCACACAGATAATGTCCCCAGTGCCTTGCACTCTCGTTGTCATTCAAATCATATCAAATGTTTCTATTTTTTTTCTTTTTCTTTTAATCTAAATGGTTTAATAATAACTATTAAGCTGAGATTAGAAAAAGTAAAAAATATTAAATGAAGTTGGCAATTGAACTTATTTTATTAGTATTATTACTTTTATTTATTTATTATTATTATTGATAAAAAATCAGTTTTATTATTATCTTTCTATTTATTTATTTTTTCATTTTTTTAGTCTAAAAAATAGGGTTCTTATTTTTATTTATCTTATATTTATTTATGTTAGAGTTTATCTCAAATGAAATATTTTACTATTTATTTATTTATTTTTATTATTTAATTTTTTTAATCTCATTTATTGATTTTTTTCATAATAATAATTAGAATAATAATAAAGAATGATTACTGTCACATCTCAAAATTTTCTTACTTCTAAGTTAATTACTAATTGTATCAATATAAATAAATTAGAATTAGATCATATATATATATATATATATATATATATATATATATATATATATATATATATAGTTAGGAATTAAAACACATTTAGTCAAATTTACTAAAAAAAACAGACGAATTAAAGAAAAATCAGGTAACAAATTATAATTTAATCCAATTTTAATAAGAATAATTACCTAAAATGTTGTTTTTATAATTTTATACCATCTTAATTATGTATTGCAAAATTTATTTAGAGAGAATAAAAATAGAAAATTAAAAATAAGTTACAACATTGGCCAAAAAGACTAAAATACCCCTAGAATAGGCCTAGAATGAAGACCCAAGTTGGATAAAGAAATGATAATGAAAAATTTTAAAATTTTTATGGTAATTTATTGGGCCAAATGAGGTTGTATTTGTTCAAGAACCAGATCAAAACCTCAAATAGAAAATTCATACCAATTTTTGCAAATTCAGCACTCAAAGTGGTGTGAAAAGGGCTAGGCAAATGGACAAAAACTTTCAATTTTGTAATCCTATCTTATCCAACCCTATTGGCATGGCTTTGACAAAAAAAATAGACTAAATTTTTCAATAATTGGGCAAAGTACCAGCTGAAGTGAAGGAAGTCAATGAGAAAGAAGACTTGGTTTATTAAAATTCCTTGATGATGATATAAGGTTAATGGTTCAATCCCTAACCAAGGAGCCTGACCAAATGCCAACCAAATTCAGCCAAAAATAGTGTTATGTGAGGGAAAAAAATCTAAAATTAGAAACTAGGAACTAAAGGCAAACTAACAAGGAAAACTTAGGCCAACTAGATGACATCGTAAGGGTCCAAAATATCCATTTTGAGTATGATTATTAGGGACCACTTTTTACCATGATAAAATCTGAATTTGGAGAAGGCTCCAACAGCAAAGTTACTCCACTTTAACCCCTCTAAATAATTGTGAACTCTCTGTCCCCTAAAAACTAAGAAAAAAAAAATGTAAAAAGCATTCCCCAAATACGAGGCTTAAATTCACTTGTAAATGGAACAAATTTGAAGACTTGGCCAAAATTCCT